CGAATTATACACGGCTTATCAATAATTTTACTATTGTGCTCACAGTGTGCAAAATGTAATTAACTAAAAATAAACCTACTAAGCTTGTATTCAGTTACGCATAATATAAGCGAGGGCAGGTTTCTCAATTATTTACGAAGAAATATCGTACCAGATGATTGTATTTGTGGATTCAAAATGTCAAATAAAAAGAAATATGTACTCCACTTACAGCGCCAAGAAAAAATTCGATCTCTTCGCAAATGCTCTCAATTGACAGTTCTGGATTTTTATCTCTAGCATCCAAGAGAAAGTCCAACAGAGATTTTCGATTTCCATTAATTTCGGTCGTGTTTTCTTCGTCTTCACGTCGTCGAATTTTTTCAGCAATTATCTAGAAACAGAATTGAAGTTTAAGAAAAATTTTTGTGTGTAATTATTCTTCGAGAGCGAGAATTTTTTACGAACCTTTTTTGTTAATTTCCTTAAAGTTTCCTTGTTTGATCTAAATTCTCTCCCTTTTGGTGTTAAATAAAAGAAGCAGTCGAACGACATCAGAAAATTAATTGATCTATCAGGTACTGGCTTAAATGTTCTATAAAATAAATAATTCATGAAACGTGGCATGTTCAAATGTAAAATTCTAATATAAAATGTTCAAATATTTTGATATTGCGATAATATAATATAAATATTTATTCTTCTGAAATTCTCAAAAATTGATGTGGTGTAATCTGAAAAAAAATTTAGATATATAAATTTGAACTGTTCTCCGTTTGCCTGTCTGTTTTTTCTTAATTTCGAAAAAGAGATAGGTAGATAATAGCTGACACAAGGTAGAAACCTCTTGGAAAACAAAATGCCCCAATTAACTAAATGTGAACTACAGATGCTAACCGGAAGTCATGTTGTTTTAATTCAAATATTTTCTTCTGAAAGGTGTTTGATAAATATCCGGAACAATTACATTGCTAACGAAAAAAGTATGGGGTACAGGGGCAAACCACCACCAGTTTGGGTAAAGACCATATATTTTTAACTAAATAAATTAAAAATATGATTAAAAATTCCAGGCCGGAATTGTAACGTAACAATAAATAATTTTTGGAAACGTATAAATTTTTACTAACGTTTTTCTGATGTGTCTTTTCTTCCTTAATACGGAGAAAAATGTTAGATAGATGAATAAAGAGACTAAATTTTAAAGTATATGAGCAAGACGTCTGAATTAACTATATAGAATTATCTAGTTAGTTACGAATGTCTCAATTCACACATTTTTCCTTAAACGGAGATAGATATATGGCACCATTTTATTTTTAACAGGAATAGTAAGATTTACAAGTTCAAGACACTACCAAAATTTAAGACTATTGCAACCCGGTACTGTGATAATTTTGAATTGAAAAAACAAGCGAATCTAGATAATATAAGGATTTGAAATCGTATCTTGCTCACGATATGCATAAATCTTTCAATAAGAAAACAATTCTGAGCATCATATCAAGTGTACCTAAGTTGTTGATAGAAAAAAATAATTTCAGGTTCGTGATACAAGTCACATCAGATGCATAACGTGTAAAAGAGAAACCATTGTGTTCATTTAAAAATTCAAACTCGTACTCTTCGTACGTATATCTATTGAACCGATCTATTAAACCGACATTGTCCCACCAGTGGCCAAACCGTTTAGTTCTCTGAAAACCAAGATTTTGGTCGTGTGTTTGCACCATGCCGGGACAGACTGGCATTTCACATAGACGTGAAAAGTGATTGAATGAAACAGGAGAATTCGAACATCCTGAATGCGTCGTTAACTTCACTGAATAGACAGATTTGAAAGTATTCATACTATTGAGGTTTTTTTATGCATAGCTATGTTATGACAAGGTGTAGTTTTCATTACAAGTAGAAAGAGAAAGATGTTTAGGCTTATATAAATAAATTCCAACAAAAAATCTAATGAACTGAATGCATTACTATTTTCAGGAAAGATGACTTGCATAAACGGTTTCATAGTATGTATTCACATACGTAGTTAAAATACAATTGCTTAGCAGAGTTATGTTGCAAAAAGTAGAAATCAAATAAGAGAAATTCGAGTCAGTTACTTTATGGAATAAAATCTATTTTATGAAAGTAAAAGAAGAAACAACAGATCGAAAATAGCTTATTTAAAATTTGCATTTTCTCCTGGTTTCAACATCTGAAAGTAAATACTTACGCGTTTATTAATTTCTCATAGTAAGAAGTTGTTTCTCTGAAAGTAGAAACCTCTTGGAAAACAAAATGCCCCAATTAACTAAATGTNTTTATAATGTAATTTTCATTTATTTTTCTAATAATTATAAAATATGACACTTTTAATAACTTTTATTGTCAATAATTTATATGAAGAATTTATCATAAATCTTAATAAATGAAATACAGTATAAATTAATCAGATTAAACATAAAATGAATTCTGCATACCATACAAAATATTAAATCCGCACAGTTTAACCACACGTACTACGAAAACTTTCTCGTTTTCCATCAGCACCTCAACTAATTTTCTGGCATTCTTCTCGATTATCGGAATAAATGAATGCAATACTTTTGGGCGAAAAGCGGGCAACAATAGTTTTTTCCTTTCCTTATAACCTTCGTCACTTCTGAAAAATATTTCTGGATTATTATACATGTTTTTTTTTGGGTGGCTTACCCAAGATTTTCTTTCCGATTTCAATTTTAATTATGATGTTAAGTAAAATAATTGCAAATTGAATAAATATAAATTAAGAAAACTTCATAATTAATAAAATAAAATGCGAAATTTCAGTAGTCTTAAAAACACGATATTGAGAACTATAACCTGTTAGCATCATTAATATAGTTTATACATTAGATATACAGGAATATTTTGTATGCTGCGTAGTTATATTAATTTGCATTGCGCTGAATGAGGGCACACGCGAGTGAATTCTAATGGTTACGTTTTTTAATTTCTGAATTGTGCTTTATATTTTTTAGGGTCTATGTAATTCTGTTCGCTATAAACTGTAATTAATTGACGGTAAGGACATAATTAAATATACGATTCTAGAAACACTGTTTAGTATCATAACGCCATGTTGTCTTCTTTGTATTTTCATTTAACTACAAAGTACTTGATATCAAGTGAATAAAACTCATTATCTCGATTAAAATCATAAAAAAAAAAGTTGTGCGGCAATTTAAGCTTGAATTCGCCATTGTCCAGTAAACTGTCTCTAATTCGAAGAATGAGGTCACTGTTTTCTCTATCAGGAAATAAATAATCTAGAGAAACTCTATCTTCCTATGACAATTGTATGCGAGACCTTCTTGACGTTAATTGGTTTTTACAGTTCTTGTTTAAACGCCTTTTAAGTTGTTATTCGTACTTTATATAAAGAGACATTTTACCGTGATAAGTTAGCGTTAATTCAGACGAGTCTTATCACGTTTCCCCTGCCACTGCGTCGTCCCTTTAAAATCATGTCTTTCGAACTATAACATAAACAAACGTTAAAAATTTGCATTTTTCTTCAATTTTTATATTTATTTTTTGCTAAGTTTTGTGTTAAACGAATTTAATAACACTAGAATATGTCTTATTAAATTCTATTGTTAAAATGTCTAGCAGTAAATTTTGACAGGAAACAAATTACTTCTAGATAATTACTTATTCGCGGAGGGACGTACTGTACGTTCTCTGTAAATATTGCGTCTATAAAAAAATTATTGTGCTGCAATTTTAGAAAAATTGTAAATCTATAAATTTCCATATCGCCTGACTGTCTCAGTCTTTTATAATTAATTTCGAGAACAGAATTACATATAAGTTGGCACATGGAAGTCATAAGAGTGAACAGACAGTTTAACTATATAACAACTTCTAATTTGTACTTGGAGTCACTTTATTTCAATTCAAATGTTTTCCCACAAAGATAGTTACATACATAACTAGCAATACTGTTCTGCTAACAGGAATAGAATGCAGTACAAAGGAAAAACACTATTACACTCCTATGCTGGCAAGTGCTATGTGCTACTGTCACAGTAAAGACACAATGGTGTTTGATTTTTCGCTGTATTATTGTTCCAATAATTTAATAAATGTAATATATATATTTTTAAATTAATTTGTTTATAATTATGTTAATTATTTTGTTAAATTTTTTTATGAATCTGTTTTTACGAACATTGCACAACTCATAACTGCAAAATACATAAAAAGGACGTTATAATAGTACACAGAGGAAAAAATTGGTATAAAAGAAAATTTAAGCAAAGCTACGAAATAACTATAGACAAAAATATTATTAACAAGAATCTAAGCATAGAAATTTATAAAAACTGGCTACAACTGTGAAAATAGAATATTTATACAGTCGCAGTTGGGGCTAGTGTGGCACTCCGAGAGTGAGATGTTTCACGTTGCGAGGATGCAGGGGATGCCGTCATGTGGGAAGAGAAGGAAGGGGAGTGGGTAGACTTAATGCCTGACAGATGTCCACAGGATACAACATATGTAACAGACTGAACAGGGCTAAAGCCCAAAACGCGTGTCTTTATGGACTAAAAGTTCATGATGAAATTATTTGTCAAGTGTCAATAAATTCACCAAGTCATGACATTGAACCAAGCGAAACAGTTTTACCTATTTTGAGGAAATTTGGCAAGATTATTTTTGATTAATTAATATCCTAAAAAATATTGAGTTTGTCACTACCAAAACATTCCGAGCAATTACTTGTATATTAGCTAAATAATTTTCAGTCATTTAAGGGCCCATCAGTGACCAAGCAGTCCTGAACACTCAAGATTTCCCGTAAAACATTATTTGCCTGCTTCACCTTACCATCAGGAAACGTATTTCGGAAAAAAGCCAAAAAGGCCACAGTCTCCAAATGTACCTGAATAGAATACTTGAATCGTGCAAAAATATCGTAATTTAAGGAGAAATAAGCGAGAAAAATTCATTTTTCACTCATTCCCCTGTTAAAAAATAAATAGCGATGACTTTTTAAATATATTCATAAATGGCATGATTAGTTTTAAAATTCATTGTGAGAGTATTAGTAATGCACATAATATGAAATAACCCTACAATATTACTCTGATGGCCGACCGGTTAAGGTTGCAGCCTACTGCTCTGGGGAACCTGGGATTGAATCCGGACAGGTAAAATAATTTCCAGGAATTTTTCAGGGAGTTGCCCGTTTCTATATGTTAGGCCCTGTCTCTCAACATCCGGCTGCCTCATTGTGGGTCTGACCGAACCGATAATGAACTTGCAAAAATAGGCCTTCTTAATGCCCATAGGGCAAAAACAGTTAACAGGGGAAAAAACCCTATTATATTCAAACTGTTAACTAAACTTTTTCAGATACTTTGAAACTTTTACACACTTTTTTATTATGATATTATAATTTTATAATAACCGTAAAATATAAAATATTACTTCAAAGAATGCAAATAAATTTATACTAATGATTACCTCATGAAAACGGAGTCTCCAACCCAATCTTTAAATCCGTTGTACAGGATGGATTTGTTAATGCATTGAGAATCACTTAGCAGTGTCTAAAAATAAGTAATAAGTGTGAATTTTAATCAGTAAATAATAAAATTAATAAAATCAGGAATAAAAATACAAAACTAACTACACTGCTGAAAATATTATATCTAATGATTGAAACGTCATTTTTAAAACACCTGAAAATTTAATGGTTCATATCTTTTTACATGAGAAATATTTGTCATATAGAATTATCGTGGAAAAAATGTTAAATTTTGGACTGTTCAACACATATTTGCTGATGCAGAGAGGAGTCTCGGATTCTCATATTTGAATATTATGCATGCTAAAAACTTTGAAAGCAAGAAAAGTTGCTGTATTTGAAAACAGAATTTTGACAGAAAATTCAGATCTCTGTCAATTTCGAAAAGTAATTTCCATGCTCTTGCATGTGGCTTCCATTCCAGAGAAACGTCTTTTATCGTGATTTTATCCTCTTGGTATCGGTTTTGTTTTTTTGGGAAACACAACGTAAGTTGTCTTGCACCAGAGCTTCGGATTTAAACTTTGCAAACTACATAAAATCTATGTCTGCCTAAGCATTGACGCCGTATTTTTTCTTAGTAGGCAAGTTGGGCATCTGCTTCTTTAGTTATTTTCGCTTGTGTGAAATATGCAATTTCATTGGCTAGTACAGTATTAATAGATGGTTACGTTTGTTACAATGAATGTTACACGCAGGAGAATGTCTTCTGAGAGGTTTTTTAAGGGAAACTGACCTTTATTCAGGCGGTACAGATGTGGAGAAAACCATAAAACTCCACGTGACCAGCCCATCTGAGCGAAGAGCGAACTCACATCTGAATGCCCAGTGTTCAAAGAACGAAACTACTTGTCCACCTGACGACAAAACGTATTCTAAAACATGCATGTAGTAATTTCAACTCTTGAACAAAACTGAATACCTCACTGGTATGAAAATTTTTTATTTTCCAAATTGTTGTCAGCATTTATAATCAGGATATTTGTTGTTATAATTATATATTTTCATTTGTTTTTACGACATCGCTTATGACACGAAATATGACATCACTTGCCGATTTATATATTTTTCTAGGAACTTACTTGAATATNAATTTAAAAATTATACGATTATAATAATTATTCGTAAAATAGGTTAGAGGTTTGGAAGACATTCAATAACAGTAACGAAAATAAAAGAAATCTGTAATTAGTTATAAAGAATAAATATTTCACAACTTTCTTAACATACTTTTACTTTCTCTACGTTTTTAATAATTATTCATAAAATAGGTTAGAGGTTTGGAAGACATTCGATAACAGGAACGAAAATAAAAGAAATCTGTAATTAGTTATAAAGAGTAAATATTTCGCTACTTCCTTAACATACTTTTACTTTCTCTACGTTTTTCAAAGTATTATATTCCTATCAAAATTTGCCCGCCTACTGGTTTTGCACATATACACGATCCTAAATATAAACACCACGATGAAAATTTCGTAAAATATATGTGTGTGTTTTGGAATTTATTTAGTTTAATATCTCTGGATAGGCTGAAAATTAAGAAAAGAAATTTGGATAGTAGCTTTAATTTAACGGGAATTAAAACTATGCAATTTTCGTGGTTAAAGGTCGAGGGAGTGAGGAAATAAAAGAGAGTCATCTGTCGTATCTTCGTGGTCGGATTTTAAGAACGGTTTACTCGTTATTGTCATTTACAATTTTTCTCTTATATATAACTCACCACTACTTTCAAAATTTTTATTTTGCCTGTCTGTAATATTTAAAAATATTATAATTAACATAGAAAATTCTCATAACAGATGGCACCAAATACAATGTAATTTATTAAAAAAGTACTTCTGGTATTGCAGTTGGTTCTTTTAATATTTTTCTACTATAAAAAATGAGATCGAATTCAACAAAAACTCTATCAAATAGAAAAAAAGTCAATTTTTTAATTTGCATTAAATTAATTATGTGTTTACATTAATTAAATATTTCAACTAATTATTCTTAATAATGAAAATATCGAAACTGTATTCGTATTTGCCAAGTACAATTAGCCTATAATGAAATACCTAATTATTTTTTATCATCCCAGTTCGTGATCAGAACTGGTCAGATGTTGGGTGGAATGTGGAATACAGTGCAGCAATGTACTGTACCTACCTCTTTAAAACAAATGAAATACGTACAATGTTTTTTTGTTATTAGAATTAAAAATTTTGTTGGAAAAAATATAGTTAATTTTTAAGAGCTAAAACAACTCTTCACCCTAAGATTTGTCCAGACAAATTTCTTAGGCTCTTTCTATTGACTGTCTTGTTAATAGCCTGTATGCTGTATGATTTAATCTTAAAATTACATCAAAGTTGTCACCGTGACAAAATGCCAGACATATAATAATATCTACAAAATTAGTCGAATTAAAATCATATATAACGTTTGAGATTGTGTAACGTTTGCCAGTAGCCTATATAAAAATTAATTTACCAGTAAAAGTATAAAAAATATAAATGCATTATCAATCTTATAATAATCACACTTATATCATATACACGTTATCATAAATATCGCTAAAAATTGCCGACCTTTATGACACATTCCAAATACTTCATTTTGTATAAATCTTCATTCTCAATAGATCGATCGATATCATTTTCAAATATGTAGTCCAACTCTTGCTGAACTTTTTTTTGAATGTCTCCGTGTTGACTTAATAAGTATAACGTCCAGGTGACAGTTAGTGCTGTTGTTTCGTATGCCTAATATTTAAATAAAAACGTTATCAATATATTTTTTGAATTTTTATAATTAAACTTATTCGAAAAAATGTTTCTAAAATTTTCGCATATGTTGAGAATGAGCCTGTAGAAGCACAGTGCATATAATATTTATTTGTTAATTCATATTAATTCAAATGTTTTTATGTCCTTATTTTATACTGTTTGTTATATAAATGTCTACTAAAACGGATCTTATTAATAGGACTTATTCTACTGGTGTTTGGTATTGTTCGGTTTCTGCGATTGAGGATAACTTATTTAGAGAAAACAAACAATTTTTATTGTTCACTTGATAGTAAAGATTGTTTACTTTCTGTGAATAAGTTTTCCTCAATTGAAGAAACCAAATACCAGTACAATAATATTAGTAAAATCTTTTTCAGTAGGCATTTATATAACAAACAATATTTATCTGGTTTAATGATTATTCAGTATTGTTTGTATTATGCTGAGTTAAATATAATAGCTTGGCATCGTAGAAAAAGGTTGACTGAAGCGCATACTCTCCACATCTTAATCTTTGGGACCCCTTTTCATTTAAATATATCAAGGATAACACCATCTTTTTTATTAAATTTATCAACATATTTTTTTAGATTAATATAAGATTAATTTATTTTGCATCACTTCAATAAACAAGAACTACGTATATTAAAATGAGTCAATACCTTAACAGCTAACTCCGAATTATACACGGCTTATCAATAATTTTACTATTGTGCTCACAGTGTGCAAAATGTAATTAACTGAAAATAAACCTACTAAGCTTGTATTCAGTTACGCATAATATAAGCGAGGGCAGGTTTCTCAATTATTTACGAAGAAATATCGTACCAGATGATTGTATTTGTGGATTCAAAATGTCAAATAAAAAGAAATATGTACTCCACTTACAGCGCCAAGAAAAAATTCGATCTCTTCGCAAATGCTCTCAATGGACAGTTCTGGATTTTTATCTCTAGCATCCAAGAGAAAGTCCAACAGAGATTTTCGATTTCCATTAATTTCGGTCGTGTTTTCTTCGTCTTCACGTCGTCGAATTTTTTCAGCAATTATCTAGAAACAGAATTGAAGTTTAAGAAAAATTTTTGTGTGTAATTATTCTTCGAGAGCGAGAATTTTTTACGAACCTTTTTTGTTAATTTCCTTAAAGTTTCCTTGTTTGATCTAAATTCTCTCCCTTTTGGTGTTAAATAAAAGAAGCAGTCGAACGACATCAGAAAATTAATTGATCTATCAGGTACTGGCTTAAATGTTCTATAAAATAAATAATTCATGAAACGTGGCATGTTCAAATGTAAAATTCTAATATAAAATGTTCAAATATTTTGATATTGCGATAATATAATATAAATATTTATTCTTCTGAAATTCTCAAAAATTGATGTGGTGTAATCTGAAAAAAAATTTAGATATATAAATTTGAACTGTTCTCCGTTTGCCTGTCTGTTTTTTCTTAATTTCGAAAAAGAGATAGGTAGATAATAGCTGACACAAGGTAGAAACCTCTTGGAAAACAAAATGCCCCAATTAACTAAATATGAACTACAGATGCTAACCGGAAGTCATGTTGTTTTAATTCAAATATTTTCTTCTGAAAGGTGTTTGATAAATATCCGGAACAATTACATTGCTAACGAAAAAAGTATGGGGTACAGGGGCAAACCACCACCAGTTTGGGTAAAGACCATATATTTTTAACTAAATAAATTAAAAATATGATTAAAAATTCCAGGCCGGAATTGTAACGTAACAATAAATAATTTTTGGAAACGTATAAATTTTTACTAACGTTTTTCTGATGTGTCTTTTCTTCCTTAATACGGAGAAAAATGTTAGATAGATGAATAAAGAGACTAAATTTTAAAGTATATGAGCAAGACGTCTGAATTAACTATATAGAATTATCTAGTTAGTTACGAATGTCTCAATTCACACATTTTTCCTTAAACGGAGATAGATATATGGCACCATTTTATTTTTAACAGGAATAGTAAGATTTACAAGTTCAAGACACTACCAAAATTTAAGACTATTGCAACCCGGTACTGTGATAATTTTGAATTGAAAAAACAAGCGAATCTAGATAATATAAGGATTTGAAATCGTATCTTGCTCACGATATGCATAAATCTTTCAATAAGAAAACAATTCTGAGCATCATATCAAGTGTACCTAAGTTGTTGATAGAAAAAAATAATTTCAGGTTCGTGATACAAGTCACATCAGATGCATAACGTGTAAAAGAGAAACCATTGTGTTCATTTAAAAATTCAAACTCGTACTCTTCGTACGTATATCTATTGAACCGATCTATTAAACCGACATTGTCCCACCAGTGGCCAAACCGTTTAGTTCTCTGAAAACCAAGATTTTGGTCGTGTGTTCGCACCATGCCGGGACAGACTGGCATTTCACATAGACGTGAAAAGTGATTGAATGAAACAGGAGAATTCGAACATCCTGAATGCGTCGTTAACTTCACTGAATAGACAGATTTGAAAGTATTCATACTATTGAGGTTTTTTTATGCATAGCTATGTTATGACAAGGTGTAGTTTTCATTACAAGTAGAAAGAGAAAGATGTTTAGGCTTATATAAATAAATTCCAACAAAAAATCTAATGAACTGAATGCATTACTATTTTCAGGAAAGATGACTTGCATAAACGGTTTCATAGTATGTATTCACATACGTAGTTAAAATACAATTGCTTAGCAGAGTTATGTTGCAAAAAGTAGAAATCAAATAAGAGAAATTCGAGTCAGTTACTTTATGGAATAAAATCTATTTTATGAAAGTAAAAGAAGAAACAACAGATCGAAAAAAGCTTATTTAAAATTTTCATTTTCTGCTGGTTTCAACATCTGAAAGTAAATACTTACGCGTTTATTAATTTCTCATAGTAAGAAGTTGTTTCTCTGAAAGTAGAATTTTCTTTAACTCCAAGAATTGTATCTGAAATAAATTTCATAAATTAATAATATAAACAATATAACGAACATTAAACTATTATGTAACAAATTTTAAAATTTATAATGTAATTTTCATTTATTTTTCTAATAATTATAAAATATGACACTTTTAATAACTTTTATTGTCAATAATTTATATGAAGAATTTATCATAAATCTTAATAAATGAAATACAGTATAAATTAATCAGATTAAACATAAAATGAATTCTGCATACCATACAAAATATTAAATCCGCACAGTTTAACCACACGTACTACGAAAACTTTCTCGTTTTCCATCAGCACCTCAACTAATTTTCTGGCATTCTTCTCGATTATCGGAATAAATGAATGCAATACTTTTGGGCGAAAAGCGGGCAACAATAGTTTTTTCCTTTCCTTATAACCTTCGTCACTTCTGAAAAATATTTCTGGATTATTATACATGTTTTTTTTTGGGTGGCTTACCCAAGATTTTCTTTCCGATTTCAATTTTAATTATGATGTTAAGTAAAATAATTGCAAATTGAATAAATATAAATTAAGAAAACTTCATAATTAATAAAATAAAATGCGAAATTTCAGTAGTCTTAAAAACACGATATTGAGAACTATAACCTGTTAGCATCATTAATATAGTTTATACATTAGATATACAGGAATATTTTGTATGCTGCGTAGTTATATTAATTTGCATTGCGCTGAATGAGGGCACACGCGAGTGAATTCTAATGGTTACGTTTTTTAATTTCTGAATTGTGCTTTATATTTTTTAGGGTCTATGTAATTCTGTTCGCTATAAACTGTAATTAATTGACGGTAAGGACATAATTAAATATACGATTCTAGAAACACTGTTTAGTATCATAACGCCATGTTGTCTTCTTTGTATTTTCATTTAACTACAAAGTACTTGATATCAAGTGAATAAAACTCATTATCTCGATTAAAATCATAAAAAAAAAAGTTGTGCGGCAATTTAAGCTTGAATTCGCCATTGTCCAGTAAACTGTCTCTAATTCGAAGAATGAGGTCACTGTTTTCTCTATCAGGAAATAAATAATCTAGAGAAACTCTATCTTCCTATGACAATTGTATGCGAGACCTTCTTGACGTTAATTGGTTTTTACAGTTCTTGTTTAAACGCCTTTTAAGTTGTTATTCGTACTTTATATAAAGAGACATTTTACCGTGATAAGTTAGCGTTAATTCAGACGAGTCTTATCACGTTTCCCCTGCCACTGCGTCGTCCCTTTAAAATCATGTCTTTCGAACTATAACATAAACAAACGTTAAAAATTTGCATTTTTCTTCAATTTTTATATTTATTTTTTGCTAAGTTTTGTGTTAAACGAATTTAATAACACTAGAATATGTCTTATTAAATTCTATTGTTAAAATGTCTAGCAGTAAATTTTGACAGGAAACAAATTACTTCTAGATAATTACTTATTCGCGGAGGGACGTACTGTACGTTCTCTGTAAATATTGCGTCTATAAAAAAATTATTGTGCTGCAATTTTAGAAAAATTGTAAATCTATAAATTTCCATATCGCCTGACTGTCTCAGTCTTTTATAATTAATTTCGAGAACAGAATTACATATAAGTTGGCACATGGAAGTCATAAGAGTGAACAGACAGTTTAACTATATAACAACTTCTAATTTGTACTTGGAGTCACTTTATTTCAATTCAAATGTTTTCCCACAAAGATAGTTACATACATAACTAGCAATACTGTTCTGCTAACAGGAATAGAATGCAGTACAAAGGAAAAACACTATTACACTCCTATGCTGGCAAGTGCTATGTGCTACTGTCACAGTAAAGACACAATGGTGTTTGATTTTTCGCTGTATTATTGTTCCAATAATTTAATAAATGTAATATATATATTTTTAAATTAATTTGTTTATAATTATGTTAATTATTTTGTTAAATTTTTTTATGAATCTGTTTTTACGAACATTGCACAACTCATAACTGCAAAATACATAAAAAGGACGTTATAATAGTACACAGAGGAAAAAATTGGTATAAAAGAAAATTTAAGCAAAGCTACGAAATAACTATAGACAAAAATATTATTAACAAGAATCTAAGCATAGAAATTTATAAAAACTGGCTACAACTGTGAAAATAGAATATTTATACAGTCGCAGTTGGGGCTAGTGTGGCACTCCGAGAGTGAGATGTTTCACGTTGCGAGGATGCAGGGGATGCCGTCATGTGGGAAGAGAAGGAAGGGGAGTGGGTAGACTTAATGCCTGACAGATGTCCACAGGATACAACATATGTAACAGACTGAACAGGGCTAAAGCCCAAAACGCGTGTCTTTATGGACTAAAAGTTCATGATGAAATTATTTGTCAAGTGTCAATAAATTCACCAAGTCATGACATTGAACCAAGCGAAACAGTTTTACCTATTTTGAGGAAATTTGGCAAGATTATTTTTGATTAATTAATATCCTAAAAAATATTGAGTTTGTCACTACCAAAACATTCCGAGCAATTACTTGTATATTAGCTAAATAATTTTCAGTCATTTAAGGGCCCATCAGTGACCAAGCAGTCCTGAACACTCAAGATTTCCCGTAAAACATTATTTGCCTGCTTCACCTTACCATCAGGAAACGTATTTCGGAAAAAAGCCAAAAAGGCCACAGTCTCCAAATGTACCTGAATAGAATACTTGAATCGTGCAAAAATATCGTAATTTAAGGAGAAATAAGCGAGAAAAATTCATTTTTCACTCATTCCCCTGTTAAAAAATAAATAGCGATGACTTTTTAAATATATTCATAAATGGCATGATTAGTTTTAAAATTCATTGTGAGAGTATTAGTAATGCACATAATATGAAATAACCCTACAATATTACTCTGATGGCCGACCGGTTAAGGTTGCAGCCTACTGCTCTGGGGAACCTGGGATTGAATCCGGACAGGTAAAATAATTTCCAGGAATTTTTCAGGGAGTTGCCCGTTTCTATATGTTAGGCCCTGTCTCTCAACATCCGGCTGCCTCATTGTGGGTCTGACCGAACCGATAATGAACTTGCAAAAATAGGCCTTCTTAATGCCCATAGGGCAAAAACAGTTAACAGGGGAAAAAACCCTATTATATTCAAACTGTTAACTAAACTTTTTCAGATACTTTGAAACTTTTACACACTTTTTTATTATGATATTATAATTTTATAATAACCGTAAAATATAAAATATTACTTCAAAGAATGCAAATAAATTTATACTAATGATTACCTCATGAAAACGGAGTCTCCAACCCAATCTTTAAATCCGTTGTACAGGATGGATTTGTTAATGCATTGAGAATCACTTAGCAGTGTCTAAAAATAAGTAATAAGTGTGAATTTTAATCAGTAAATAATAAAATTAATAAAATCAGGAATAAAAATACAAAACTAACTACACTGCTGAAAATATTATATCTAATGATTGAAACGTCATTTTTAAAACACCTGAAAATTTAATGGTTCATATCTTTTTACATGAGAAATATTTGTCATATAGAATTATCGTGGAAAAAATGTTAAATTTTGGACTGTTCAACACATATTTGCTGATGCAGAGAGGAGTCTCGGATTCTCATATTTGAATATTATGCATGCTAAAAACTTTGAAAGCAAGAAAAGTTGCTGTATTTGAAAACAGAATTTTGACAGAAAATTCAGATCTCTGTCAATTTCGAAAAGTAATTTCCATGCTCTTGCATGTGGCTTCCATTCCAGAGAAACGTCTTTTATCGTGATTTTATCCTCTTGGTATCGGTTTTGTTTTTTTGGGAAACACAACGTAAGTTGTCTTGCACCAGAGCTTCGGATTTAAACTTTGCAAACTACATAAAATCTATGTCTGCCTAAGCATTGACGCCGTATTTTTTCTTAGTAGGCAAGTTGGGCATCTGCTTCTTTAGTTATTTTCGCTTGTGTGAAATATGCAATTTCATTGGCTAGTACAGTATTAATAGATGGTTACGTTTGTTACAATGAATGTTACACGCAGGAGAATGTCTTCTGAGAGGTTTTTTAAGGGAAACTGACCTTTATTCAGGCGGTACAGATGTGGAGAAAACCATAAAACTCCACGTGACCAGCCCATCTGAGCGAAGAGCGAACTCACATCTGAATGCCCAGTGTTCAAAGAACGAAACTACTTGTCCACCTGACGACAAAACGTATTCTAAAACATGCATGTAGTAATTTCAACTCTTGAACAAAACTGAATACCTCACTGGTATGAAAATTTTTTATTTTCCAAATTGTTGTCAGCATTTATAATCAGGATATTTGTTGTTATAATTATATATTTTCATTTGTTTTTACGACATCGCTTATGACACGAAATATGACATCACTTGCCGATTTATATATTTTTCTAGGAACTTACTTGAATATGATCCGGACGATACAAGAACAAGCATTTCACAATTAGAAAATTTAAAGAAAAATATCCTTTGTTGTACGTGTGATTCAACATCTCTGCGAACGGTATTGAAGAACCTGGAAACACAGAATTATTATAGAAAAATTTCTATTTGTATTGATTTTAAATACAAACATAACATCTAAATAGATTAGTTACAAAGTAAATTTTATTAATTTTGAAAGAAAAATTTTTTGACAATTTCACAAATCTAAATTATAGTTCGGTATTTTCAATACACGATTTTCAATATTTTCTGGGTAACTGTAAAAAATCTTTGCTTTTACATGTTATTTAATATAATTGTTATCGTAACAATCTAACTGCCAAATTATAAGTGCGATAGTAAAGAAAATTTCCTAAATAATTTAACGTTACTTGACCTCTTCACCTGTAAATCTTCAAAACTTTTTATTCGTTACAGTCCGAAAATATAGATTTCTGATATTAGCAACCCTGTAAGTAATTAATGTCATTCTTTTGTACACTTTTAGCGTACGTTTTCTACAAACTTTTCAAAATTTCGTTCATTATTCTCAAACTACTTGTGCTATGTTTGCTTACATTATAAAATAAATGTATAGATGTTACTGTGTGGAGGCACTCAGTAACATCTATACATTTATATACTTTGTTCCCTATGGTTGGTTTAATAATGCATGCTGTTTATCGAAAATTTCTGAAATTTTGCGCAGTGGATTGCGTGTTAGAGGGATTACTGTAATGCTATTAAATTTTGAATCGTTAACAGTTTACAAGATAAAGTGATAAAGGGGGTCAGTGTAATATTTCGAGTAGGGTCAGATTCGACTCGAACTCGAAAATATTTGTGTCTTTGAATCAAAATAACTTCATCGTCAAACCAGAAATAATCCTAGGTTTCACCAACTTCAAATCTACTCCCAGAATACACCTTACCAGAACTGTTCTAATGTGCCAACCTATGCATTTATTTAAATTTCCTAAGGAACAAACCTAATCTCTGGCATGAAATCTATAACCGAATCCTTCAACTACAGGTATTTATCGCCACGCAAAGTTCATGTGAACTCTCTCTCTCAAGAAACGCAGAGGTATCTAGACCTATTTTAGCTCGATTTATTATAACTTGTTTAACGATATAAAATGCATTTTGCTTTACAAATAAACAGTTATTTGTTTTGTTAACAAATCTCTGTATGAGTCACTTCCTACTCGCTGTCTCGCAGTTTCCATCCCGAATCCAATCACGGTGGTGTCATTCCTGACAGAGCTTCGAAGAAGTGCTGGTTTTCCAGTCACAAAGTTAATTAGAAAAAGTAAAACGTTTTTTACATTTGACAGAAATTCAAAGTAAAATAAAAAATATATGTTATCAACCAGTGTTTTATAATGTTTGTTACAAATCATATCGAAACGAAACATTTAATTTCCTTTAATCAAATTTTACGAGATTCTTCATTGGCTGAAGTAAAAGCAGAATAAATCATATAAATCTAAGTAATACATATAGCAAATTAATTGATTATTTATAATATTATTATTTCATGGGCTTATTAAGATATAACATTTTATAGACTTTTTATGCTTTGATGCTAGTTTAAATTAAAGATTCGTAAACTGAACAAAATTTCTGATATAAAACAAAAACTAAATCGAATGTAGCGCGATATCGCGGTTTAAAACTGTAAAATATACATTTATATATTTAACGTAACACATAAAGAAAATGCTCTGGCACATATTCAGATCTCGTAATCATTCTAGTAGGCTAAAAGAGGCCCCATTTAAACTTCGTTATTATTTTTTTTATAAGAAGAAATACGTTTAACTCGGTTACTCGGTTAGGTACTTCGATCTTCATATGGAACAGCCATATATTGGTGACAAGTAACTGTAATGATACTCAGGAGAGTATTTTATGTTTTGTAGGCTTGAAACCTCTGGTCTAGAGAAAACCATAACCTGGAATTTTTCAAAAATCTAAAGTATTCTTCATAGAAAAATTTTACAACTTTGGCAATGAAACACTTTATATATTAATGCTAATGTGAGATTGTATTCTGTTTTTAAACTTTTATTTTTACTTATTTAAATGTTATTTTTCGCTAGTTAGAGAAATAAGCAAGTTAAGCATAAAATTGAAAATTTTGTAGCAAAATAGAAACTTCCTCAGAACACCGGAAATAAAGTTGTAACATTACTTATTCTATTTGATTCTTATAAAAATTGTTATAATACTATTTATTAGATTCAAATAATTTGATATCTAAACAAGACAGCGTGTTAGCTACAAATAGAAGAACTTCAATTGCTCCCATTTCTCACCTCAGGGAAAAGTCATGAAACAGTTGGGTGCTAATGACACTGTGAAATGGTAAAATTTTTATACTTAGAAAGTTGGAACTTTCTTGGGAGAAAAAATACTTACCAGATAAAAAATATCTGTTCAATTTGATAGACATTTTTTTGCCTAGTATGTAGCAAAGAGAGTATTGCAGGATATTAAATTGGGATAACAGTTTTATTAAATAGTCAATTAACATAATAAAAAAATTAGAGCTAAAAAACAAAAAATATGAATACCTTACTTTCGTTTGTTAACAATCGCACTTAGATTTGGAATAGAGTCATATGACTAAATGGAAGAAGGTTGCCCTAAAAAGTTTTGGATTTAATAATTATTTCAAACGGCGTGAAGCCATAAACTTCCCATGGTTGGCAACACTGCCTGCAGCTAAAGTAATTAGACTCATTGAGTCAAGAAATAGGGCTGTAAAATGGTCCCGCTAATTGGTCAGAAACCATTCTTTAGAAAAGATTATGATCCCTGTGTATAACACCAAAAATATGTAAAATTGTTATTTCATTTAGTTTTATTTTTATGTTAAGTAACATTAATAGCCTATTTAATTAAAAGTTATATATATTAATTTAAATGACTTGTGTTATTTGATTACTAATTTATTTGTAATTGCACAAATTAGTATTGTTATTTAATATTTATAAATAACTGTATATTTAATTATTAACTTTTACTTTAAAACTATTTTTTTTTGTTTAAATGAAGCATTCTTTATTTGTCAACGTAGAATAATTTTCGTGAGAAAAAATAAAATATATACATTACTCTCTCTTTATATAATATTTTAATTTCTGAATCAAATCACCTATAATTTATGTCATCACTAGGATATGATTTTATAAACAATATAGAAAAATAAAAATATTGTTAAATTGTATCTCAAAAAATACAGTAATTACTGTAACAATTATATTAATTAATATTTTCTATAATAATAATTATATAACACAAATGCTCATTAATAAATAAATGACAGAGAAACAACCAACAGTGAAAATTTATAAGGATAATCTATAAGTTTTATTAAATTGCAGCCCGATAGGATAACTCATTAAAAATAACTTTAAAATTTAAGAATTTTTCTTTAAAATATAAACTTCTATTATAAGAAGTGAATCGTTTATTCTGATTTGTAGAAAAAAGTTTCGTAGAATATTAATAATTATCATTTACTACAATATTAGTGAACATAAGAAGAGATTTAGTGTAGAGTTTATCTTAAATATAATCAATAAAAAATCCTTTAAATGAGCAATTATTTATTGTGACATCGTCACAATGCCAGCTGCAATTCTTAATTTTTTATAAAGTTTATTTTTGAAGCACTATTCATCTAGTGTTTATGCTAGTGTTTGCATGGTGGCTGCCAAAATTGTATCTGGATTATAAAATTTTGCAACCGGATTCCACTGCTGATTTGGCCATTTCAAAACAAAAATTGTATCGTTATAATAGTCTCTAAATGTAAGAATGTTGTGAGCTAAACATATCAGATTATGAACCAAACTGCTATGACAAAACTAACGCATTATATCAATATCAGTTGATGGGAAGAGTTAATCATAATGTAACGAATTGCCAGCCACTAGATTCTTGAAATTGTGATAAACGTGTGCCTGGAAATATTATCTTATCGAAGATTTTGTGTGGTTTTGCAAGGATAAAACTCTAAACTCTTTTCAGATCGGGTAAACAAGACAAGTTATAATTTTTTATGGTTACACAGATCAGATAGACACTTAACACAGGACAACGAAGTACAATAGAAGTGGAAAAGGAAAAAGTGTAAAAAGATTGTAAGAAAAGAAAAGAAAAATCGCTCTAAGCCATATACGTAAGGTTAATTTCGTCTACAATCAATTAATATTGTCGTGCAGTATTTTAGGCTGCAAGGCCATGGAACTAAAAGAAAACGTGAATTTCCGCATACACCAATAAGTGGAGCAGCTAAAAACAGGCAAGATAGAGCAAAGTTTAAGCTAAATATTAAACTATAGCTTAAAACTAGTACTATAGAATTAACGCAAACTGAGCTTGCAGGTACTATAAGAAGCAAGGTCAAGTGACAGAATGAAGATATGTATTTTCTGTGGCATTATTTACAATTATAGTCAAAAAATAAAGTGTTCAAATGTTTTGCAAATAGTCCTTTACACGCAAAATAACCTATAGACACGTTCATTGATAAGAGAATAGAGATTAGACGAGAACTTACCGATCCTTGGTATGAGATATAGAAATGCGAGTTTCCACCCAAGAAGACAATAATATAATTCAGTGTCTTTAAAAGCAATAAAAATTTCCTTTCTTTTAACCAGAAATGTATAGACAATATATATTATTGAAATAATAGCAAGTATCTTCCACTTGTAATTACTGGCAAGAATTTCCATAATAGCTCCCATACTTATTCTAACGGTCTTCGTATACTATAGAAATTAGTTCTACTCAAGTTTGTAGTTTAAATTCGTTACTCGTAAATGACTGGAAAACTACTTTTATGATAACAGCCAAATACACTTCGTTCTTATAAACTAAATTAATTTGCTCAACGTATACATGAAGTGACGTATACCATTAGACGTACCTTTTCCTTATTGTCATAGTTTTGTTTTTTATATCACTTGTAAATTAGACTTTGTCGTTTCGTATCTGAAATTAAGTACTAAGTATTATCCTTTTATATAAGTGGGCTTCCATGCTATTTAATTTTTGTGGATAGGTCATGAATAACAGGAGATAGAGGGTGTCATGTGTTTTCATTTGAAAAAATTTTACTAGCGACTGTATTTACCTCTTTTTATTCTTCATCCTATCATGAAATATTAAATGAAATAAAGATTTGAACACACACACACACACACACACACACACACAAACTCGGGACTTTAACATTATACCTTATTAAATAAACATAAAAAGCGAAGGAAAAAAGTGTATGTATCCCAAAAAAACGTCTCTGTTTAGTTACGTTTATACGCTACATTTCACAAGGACAAATGCATACTTTATTTTATTAAATTTGTTTTCTTATGTAGAGTACATATCCACTGCATCTATTGCTAAGCATAGACAGGTGCAAAGACAGGTTTGTCCGTTGGACACAGGTTTTGTCCGCCTTAGACAGATTCCTTGATAGATCAGCGTCAAAATGGAAGGAGAAAACCCTAGAGCAGTCTTAGGGAACATAGGAAGTTTCGTTCTTTTTTTGCCTGCGTTTTCTGGAGATGCAGCCGTACTTAGAATATCTGAGTTTTTTACTTTAGCAGATATTGCAAAATTGTCCGGATGGACGAAAGCGAAAATGCTATTAGTAGCAAAGCTAAGAGTCACGGGGATAGCAAGAGAATTCGTTAGAGAAGACAAGAGAATTAAGGATTTTGAGGCATTTAAGAGAGTTATGCTAAAGCGTTTTGAAAAGGTTCCTTTCCACCTTCGATTGAATCGGTTTTACGCTTGCGTACACACCAAGGATGAGGATGTACAGACGTACGCTGCGCGCTTACAAGTCCTTGCTACAGAAATTAAAATAAAGCAAGAGAGAGCACATGCGGCAGAAACAGCCCTGATCAAGCGCATACAAAATAAAAAATTAGATGAACGCATGAAGTCTCAATTTTTAAATGAAATCACAATACAACTCAGACAACGCGTCATATCACGAGAACCAGCGACATTTGACGACACGCTTACAGCAGCAATTAGTGAGGAAAGTATCGAAACTCTGACTGCACATCCTCATGCTATTATTAGACTCATAAGGGAAGTTAAATCTAAATCCGCTACAGAGAAACCATCTGAAAAGTGGGAATCATTAAAAGCCGCTATATGAAGTTGCCAATAAATTAAAAGGGAAGGCCCCGGTAAAATTTGGACAAAGACGAAAAATCAGCGGTCCGAATGGAGAATCCATTTAAACCATAGGCATGACTGTTCCCTGTTTTAAGTTTAGAGACTACAAGTTCCCCAGATCGTGTAAAATCTTCCGATCAGAAATCACCGCTTCTTGTGAAGGGATCATCGAACGAGATATAATAAAGGAAGAAAACCTCATTCTTGATTATGCAAACGAGAAAATTACGCTACCGAATGGAAAAATGTTCATTTTTGCTCAATCTCGCCGAAACCGAGACGTAAACCCGACACTAGGGAAAAAGAAAAGCAGCTTCCTGAAAAAATGGTAATACGACTCATGCATCAAGGCCAACCGAATTTACCAGAGGTGCGAAAAGAAAGAATACCCACAAAAGGCAACGTCCTTACAAAAATGGGAAGAGAAGAAGACAGGAACAAAACCGATGTCAAGGTAACCTACAGAAAAATCCTACAAATCAAAGTTCTCCGTCCGGTGCAAATAGAATTCAAATCGTCCGAATCTCACATCCAACCCATTTCCGCAAAGAAGGAAAAAGAAGAAAGCAAGGAGAAAATGACGATGCACCGAAAATATAAGAGACCACGGGTGGAGCAACGAGAGGATACACCTTCTCCACACCTGCAGGAGCAAGCAGAAACGGAAATCCGTTATAACACTGACATAGAAACCGTCAACATCCAAAGCGATCTCCTAACCGAAATTTCGGAACACATTGGCAAGGTTAAATTTCAATACAGTGGTACCTCAGGATAGGAAATTAATCCATTCCAAAACTGAGGTCGTATCATGAAAATGTCGTAAGGTGAGTCATTTTTCCCCATACGATTACATGTAAAACCAAATAATTCGTTTCAACACGAAAAATACATTCAAATTAAAGCTAAGAAGTACATTAAAACAAAATAACTATAATAAGGAAAACACTGAAAAATGCGTTTTGTAGTTGTAAATGTATAAATAACCGTAATAGAATAATAATTGATAAAAAAAATGTAGTTTTATTTGCACTTTACCTTTGAGGATAGACGACGGTGGAGGTGTAAACTGGTGGCGGAAGAGAGAGAGAAGGGAAAAGATACTAAAACTTAACGTATATAACATAATGTAACAATAACTTAAAAATAACTTAGAGAAGATAAAAAAAATTAGTGTTGTTTTATATATATTTTTTTAAATTTTTATTCACTGATTTTTGCTTTCTTTCCTTCACTTCCACCAGCACTTTCACTGGATAGAGGTCGCTTAGTAAAATATCTATCCAAAGATGTTTGGCTTTACCTACTTTTTAAAATGTTTCTTAGGCAAATGTCATTAATCCGAGCAGCAATACGGCCAGTGTGAACCTTTTCGGGATGTTTCTTTTCAATAAAATTAGTCACTTTCTGATAATATTTCGAGATTTCCTTTATCGAGCGAGATCCTTCCACGACGAAGCAAACGCGCGGACTGAGACCAATGAACAGAAGTGAATAAAAAATGGCGCTGCGAACTAATGTAACGTCGTATGGTGAGTTTTTGTTCGTATCGTGGAGCAAAAATATGTTCGAATTTCATGTCGTATCCTGAAAATTTCGTATGTTGGGGCATTCGTATCCTGAGGTACCACTGTATAGATTCAATCATGTTTAGGGATAGTAATAGGGCATTTGTCTCCTAATTAGATTTAGAAACATAAAAAGAGAGAGCTATTAGTTACTGCAATTTTGTGACACATATACCTCTCACTCCGTTCAAAGAGAAAAATAGAAACAAACGGATTTTTTTTTGTTGTCAATTGAAAGTGAACTTTGTGCATCGATAAAAGAGACTGATGTCGAGTCAACCACACAACGCAGCCTACTAGCATAAAACACATAACCCGCATAGAATAACTTTGAACTGGTGTAAGATTTCTGAACTATCAACAGACGGTGAATCATCAACACGAAAACTGTGACAGTAGGTCAACAGCCTAAACGATTCGTCACGATTGTAAATCGTGTCTGTAGTGCAGATTGCACATATCACACGTCAACTTATACTTTTTGTTACAAAGAAAATTTTTATTGTCGGGAAAACCCATGTCAAAAAGAGAGAGTGTAATCTAAATTTAAATGTTAAAATTACACTCGAAAGAATAATTTTAATGGAAGCGGTGAATGGTGTTGTGAGGATCAGAAATTTCGTGTTATAAACAAATATTTTTTTATTCAATAAAATTTATAAGAACGGAACGAGAAAACAGAAAATTAAAAAAAGAAAAGAGAAAAATAAAATCGATAAAAACCTCGATTTCCACCAATTGGGTTCCTTGTTGAGATGAGTACATTTCTGTGTCACGATTGTGTCAGCCGTCACCTCATTGGACCAAGATCGTCATCGCTGACGAAATCGGGGAAAGGTTCGAAAAAAAGGACTTGATAAAAGGGACAGGCACGATGAGTAAGTTGGTGGAATTTATTATTGGTGTCTGTGTGTGAGCCGATTGTCTACCTCCCGCCGAGATTCCTGAACGTCAACCAACACCTCCTTCTCGCCTACAGAACTAGAAGACCTCAACAGGAAGTCCTCAACACCTACTCAACTGAAAAGAACTGTTGGACGTTTTTTTGTGCTGGTACTTGATCAACCATACAACCTAAGGTATTTATCCTGCCCGCGCACTATTGTACGTTCTCTCTCTCCGCGTAAACTAAACGCGAAACCGGTTGTAATTAGAACTAGAAAATGATCAATAACTGAACACGATTCAAGTAGTTTATGTTCGAATTTTATTCACTAATGTAAACCTAATTTAGATTATATATAAATAAACGGTTGTTTATGTTTAAAACTTCTGGAGTGCAGTTTCTTCCGTTTTTCTCTCCGTTTTCTCCATTCCGGACGTAAAGTCGCGTACGAGGGGTCCAAACCTCGTACGCGACTTTACGACACGCTAGCGTGTCGTAAAGTCGCGATTTCCGAGTCCTGCGAGACTCGGTGGTGTCACATCCTGACGTGGTATCGAAGAGATATCGACTCAACGGTCACAGTGTGAAATCCGCGATTTTTACACCTATGTCGGTAAAAATCTTTGTAAACAACTCGGATAAAAAAAAGCACTCTTGGTGAGAAGTATATCAGAGGGCACTGGTTGTTTTCATTTAAGTGGGAAAGTTGACACTTAGTCGATCGAAATGCACCGTAAGTGTCAACAGAAGTCGATCACGTGACTTTTTCCCACGAAAAACGTATAACAGCTCGAGCCCCGGAAGTTCCGGGCGACCAAAGGAAGTTATACTTATTACTGTGGGCATCTTGTCTCCATACATCGGACATTGCGGCCGAACGAACATCGCTATACGACAGCCATTCGAGCTTCGATGATTATCGCCATTCTACGGTTCCTACGCCGACTTCGATTCATACGGCCCATTCAATGAAC